TGTGATCCCAACTCCCACACCAACTGGACTCGAAATGGCGAACATGAAAGCATACGCCATGCATGATAAGAAGGGGCGGTTTGGAAGCATGCGGAGGAGAGCAATGCCCATGGCAATGGCTGCAATGATCTTGTGCACACTGACTGTCCACAAAGCCTTCCAAGCTTCTGCTTTTGTCTTGGCAACTCCGATTGCAATGCCCTCAAAGAAAGAATGGAAACATAAGGCTACGATCAACAAAATGCTGTCCCCAACTGAACCAACTGTTGCAGGGTGGTGACCATGACCACTGTCGTGGCCCTGTTGAAGCGTACAAGCAAAACGCTCAGTTAGTTGCAATTACTAATTGGCACATATGATATTTTACCAGACAGTCTGACATGTTATGTTGTGAGATTGAATTTGGACAATTGATAAAGTGGCAATATGTTTGAATGTGGAGTACTCTTTCACAATCTCGCAATGTAATGTGTTAGAGGTCTGGCAAGTTCGTTTACCCTACTAATAAATTATATTATATACATCCCACATATACAATATCAAAGCTCATGTATCTCACCTTATGACCGTCCTTTCCTGTAATAGGAAAATAAAAATTGTGAAGTCAGTATCTTGTTTAGGGTATAAGCAGAAGATATCCTAGTAATGGATTTGATCAAGTAAATAATCTTTTTCTTGTAAAACCAATATCTTAAGACTGCCTATGCAGTTCTTAGCACAAACTTATCAAAACGAAGAACTGAATGGTGCCTAATTCCTAAATGAAGAACTCATGCAAAACCACCTACCTTGAACTTCAAGGTCACTGCCCTCTTGCTTAGCATACACATAGGAAACAACACAATCCGCAAGCATAGTGATCAAGAACCCCACACTGGCCAGCATAAATGCAAAAGGGTACTCCTTCTCAGTCAAGCTTTGGAAAGTCTTGTTTGAATCACTCAGAAAGTGCATGAGAGCTGTTCCCAAAAACACACCGCCAGCGAACTGTGTGCCCAGAACCAAGAACCCCTCGTTCCACTTTAGGAAGTAGGGCGACATTCCGGCTGCAAATGTCCCAACAAAGACCAAAACCAAGCACCAAATCTTGACCAGTATTAGAGGCTTAGACCGAAGGCTGTGAGCCTCGTCGTTCCTGTTGCTTTCCTTGTCATCGTGGCTGCCATACGCCAAGGCAGAGAGGGTGAGGCAGAGGAAGAGAGAGAGCTTGAGTGTGTGGTAGCAAGCCATATTGCAGTGGTGCATTGAAGAAGTTGAAAGGTTCATTGTGTTAATATACAACTAGTGTTTTGGACTTTACCTTAACTACAAATAAAAGAAAACAATCATCAATTACTGATAATATATCACTTTACAAGGTAGCGACTGCTTTTCTCTTTAATTTGGTCATATAAAGTATTATTTTTTCTCTGACTAAGTAGGAGCACGCTTAAGTAATATAATTATTTAGGAAAAACTGTTACGGCAGATTCTTTCTCCTTGCAATTAAAAGAAGCAAATGCAGTTATCACCATGAGAAAAAATTTCAGAAATGAAAACTACGTTGGCACCTAATCGGTTTCTGATTGGTACAATTACATTAGATGTACGTACACCAGTGAACATCTGGAGAGAGTTGACATTACTGTATGTAAACATCAAACAGACATTGCCACATTGACATGTGTTGGATGTTATGTAAATATGAAACAGATGTTTTGTGTATTTTTTGATGAAACAGATGTTTTGTGTATTAGTGTACTTAGAAATTAATCTATGCGGTTTAGCATGATACGTTCAAAGTATCGCGACATTTAGCTGCTTATGCAAAGAAATAGAAAAAAAAAATATTGAGTTTGGCTGCAGTTCAATAATTTAGTGATTAATCACATCCTGTTGCTTGTACTTAAAGGGATCCATATTTATATGGATTCATTTTTGTCACTTTGTATATAAGATAAGATAAGGATCAGCGCCCAGATGGTTTGCCAAGCCATCTAAGCAGTAAATTCTGCCGTCACAACTACTACAAAGCAAAAGAACCAGAAGAGAAGGGATACGTAATCTGTGTAAGAATTTGACTAAAATGGAAATAAACATTATTGGAGATCATTAACAGTGCTGTAATAATAACTTATTATAGAAAAAATTCAAACCCAAAAAAAA